ATTCTATTTATAATAGTCGTCTGTATTGGCGGCTATTATATAATTCATTTAAACAACTTAAACATGCAACTTCTTCGCTCACAAGTTGAGGTTGAGGTTGCTAAAGATTTATTTAACAAGAATATCGATTTAATAATCGATTTCTTGAATCAACATCGGCTATAAATAAAAATCAAACGAGTCGATAAAACAAACTTGGAATTTTTTAAATAATTAGAAATATTCGTTTTCTTCAATAATTTATTTTATAGTTTATATAATATATACAAATTTATTTACATGTAATAATTAGAACTAAAATCCCAGAACCCTTCTTTATCTATAACTCTTCTGTTTCTTGCATATTGGCTCACGATTATGTTTTTAAAATTGTCATTTTGAACAATTTTATATGAGCCTTCCAACTTCCATTTAATATTCAAGTCTGTTGCTCGTCGAACTCTTACTGGAATCTTTTCAACATTTAATCCTCTTCGAATCGCTTCTTGGAATACGTAGAGTCGACGATTATCTGAAGAGAAGATCATATTATCGATAATGCAAACCTGAATATGTGGAAAATCTTTGATTTGAACAGTGCCATTAATAAGTTCATTAATGGTTTCTTTGATTTCTCCACCATTCCGAAAAGAAGAATTTATCGTCGATTGGCTGAATAAAATTTCGAAGGGTTTATCTTTGTCGTATAATCTCCGTCAGCCAACTGCAATTTATATTTAAGGATTTTTGTTCGAAGGAGCAAAAAAGTTCCAAGAATTCAAACAAATATAAATGAAAAAGGTGCTAGGAAAAGAATTAGAATTAACAATGTTAATTCTAATTGATAGTTTACACTTGATTCGACAAGTGTATCTTGAGAATCATTTGATCGATTCTCCTCTTCGGCGGATTGTGTTAAGTTATTTGAAGAACTTCCTTCTTCAAATTCTTCAGAATCGACCGTATAGGTGGGTCGATCTTCGATATTATCCCAGGAGTTTTCATCTTCTTGGAGAATATCGTTCCAATGGGAGTTCATTTCATCTTCCCATTGTTGATATATTTCATTGTTTTCATGTTTGAAAATAATTTCTTCTTCGAAAACAATGTTTAGTTTTTCATCTTTTTTTTGTTTCTTGTTAAAAAGATTTTTGAAAAAAGACATTTTAATAATGATTAAGTAGTTTTTAAAAATATTGTTAAATTTTATTAAATTGTAATTTGAGAAAGTTAATTCTAGAAAGCACTGTTTAAATAAAATTTTCTTATCAAAATTAATATTACTAAATAAAGTTTATCGAGTTAATATTTTTAAGTGAGATTTCATTGAACTAGTGAATAATTCTTAATTTTTCTTAAAAGAAAATAATTTTATCAACAAGACACGTATTCAAGTTTACTCAGTTTTGGAAAAATTAAAAAAAAATAAATAATAAACGTGTTTAAACGTGAAAATTGTTTTCCACATACATCATGGGATTCTTATCAAAAAAAATTATAAATAAACAGGTTTTCGTCATTTACTAACATAAAAACATGAAATAGATTTTCATATAACAGAATT